CAGCCTCCTGAGTAGCTGGGATTATAGACATGCCATACCCCACCCAGCTAATTTTTGTATTTTTTGTAGAGATAGGATTTCCCCATGTTGGCTAGGCTGGTCTCCAGCTCCCAACCTCAGGTGATCAGCCCACCTGGGCCTCCCAAAGTACTGGGACTACAGGTGTGAGCCACTGCAACTGGCCTGAATGAATGAATTTAATGACAGGTGTGAAAGAGCCCTATAAATGGTAAGCCCTTCAGCAAATATTAATTGAGGGCCTACTATGTGGGGGCCCTGTGCTAGAGGCTGGGGCTGCGTGTGACAGGGAACAGGCTGAGAGGCACCCAGCCTCACAGAGCTGGCTTTGGGGAAGAAATAGAGTAAGAGATCAGGAGACCTACAGATGACGAGAACAGAGGCAAGGGTGGTGGCAGAGAAGTAGCCATGGGGAGGGCCTCTCTGAGCTGGGGACATGGGAGCTGGGTCCAGAAAGACAAGGATCTCCAGGAGGCATCCCAGGTGCTGGAGCACAGAGAACAAGGAGGGTCCACGAGGCCTCTGCTGTTGAAGGGCCTGCAGGCAGGGCTGACAGTGCCACCTGTGGGTCATCCATTCCTGGGCTCCACCCCCGTCCCTCCTGCCCCAACCCCTCCCGGCAGCCTCCATGGGTCTTCAATTCTTGCTACCCTCCAGCTCCCATCTTCTAAGGGTGTGAGCTCCGTGCCCTCCTGCCTGGCCTTTGCAGGCACTTCCCCCGAGGAGGCAAAGCCATTTTTCCAGACTCAGCCCAGTGGGGTTGCACACTCTGCTCTGTCTTAGTCCTCACTGTCCCAAAGCTGCCAACTGCAGTTCCAGTTCACCCTCTGCCGCTTCTAGTTGGTAGTTTCCAGCCTTGATTCACTTATCCACCACCACAGGTGCTCCCGGGTCCTCTGTGCCTGGAGGGAATGTCTTTTTCCTGGACTCTCTCCTTTCCCCATCCTGCCGAGGCCCTCAGGGGGCATCCACAGTGAACCTGGGGGCTCCGGGCTTCTTCAGCAATGCAAACACAGCAGCAGCTCTGGGCCCTGGATTCTCTTTCCCTCCCAGCCCAGGCTCTCATCTCAACTGTCCTCCCCAGGGTCAGGGGATGTGGAGGCAGCAGGAAGCTCCTACTGTGCATCAGGCACCCAACTGGTGCCTCAAAAGTGCTCTCCTGCAGATCACCCGAGGTCAGGAGTTTGAGATCAGCCTGGCCAACATGGTGAAACCCTGTCTCTACTAAAAATACAAAGTTAGCCACGCATGGTGGTGCGCACCTGTAATTCCAGCTACTTGGGAGGCTGAGGCAGGAGGATCACTTGAACCTGAGAGGTGGAGGTTGTAGTAAGTTGAGATCACACCATTGCACTCCAGCGTGGGCCAAAAGAATGAAACTCCATCTCAAAAAAAAAAAAGTGCTCTCCTTCCATGTTCACTTGGTGGGCAGGGTCTATCTGTATCCTTATTTCCAGAGACCAAGGCTCAGAGAGGGCCCAAACTTGATGAGAGGGCTTGCTCCCACCCTGCTGGCACTTAGCCTAGTGATGGCACACATGAGACACTTTGCAGACATTCCTGGAAGTGCAGGCAGGGAAATGAGAGGAGGAGGAGGAGGAGGAGGAGGAGGAGGACGAGGAGGAGGAAGGCAGGAGTCACTGAAGCAGGGAGGAAGCTGGGACCAGAAGTCAAGCCCATGGCTCTGAGCTTTGCCCCTCCTTCACTGATACTGTGACCCAGTCCCTACAGTCTGGTCCCATCTTTGTAGGGCAGGAGCTGGGGTTGCTCAGCAAGTGGGGGGCTCAGGGTTAAGATCTCGCCTGGCCCCGTTCTTCCGCTCACCCGTTGTGCTTCTTGTACACAGAGGGCACTTGTGTGGGTCACTCCTGCAACCCTGGGTGGAGGTCCGCAGGCAGGGAGAGTCCCTTGTCACCTGTGCCTGAAGCCCAGTTTCTGTGTCCATGGCCCAGCTCCTCCCCCCTGGCCTCGTTTTGAGTGCCTGTGGTCTGCTAAGTAGTGAAGAAATGGAGAGATATCCTACTTGCTATCATCATGGGAAAAGCAGGAGGGAGGGAGGGAAGATATTGAGGGCAGGAGTCAGGGGCGTGCAAGGAAGGCTCAGGCTGGGCACATGGCAGGTGCACCTCTGTGCTGGCTTGGGGAGGGAGGTGGCCTGAAGTCAGCTGGTCTCATTCTAACCCTGGGTTCATGGAAGCTGAAGGAAGTGTTCCCATCCATCTTGGGTCTTCCTGGCTCAGCTGGTCCCTCTGGCTGGGCTGGAGTCAAAGCAGAACCCAGAGCCCTCCTGGACTTCACAGTGGCACCCAGGGCCTGTGGCTTACTTCACCTTGAAGCTCATCAACAAGGCAAGGTCAAAGTAGGACCAGTCACACCAGGGTCAGCCCCAGAGGAAGGATGGGAGCCAGCATCACAGCTGAGGCCCTGACCTAGAGGCCAGCTCACAGAAGGACATGCACCTGATGCTCCTGGGGTGAACAGGGCCAAGTTCATGCTCTTTTAGCACCCCAGAACCTTCTTGGGAAAAGCAATGACATCTTCAGCCTAAAGACAAGGATGGGAATCTAAAGCGTGGACTCTAGTCCCAGGCCTGCCACTTGCAGTGGCTCAGGCAAGCTGTGACCTTCAGCTTCCTTGCCTGCTCTTCCAGTACACAGCTCACCTGACACCTGCCTGCCAGGCCCAGATCCAGATGCCTTCAGGCTCAGGCCCACCATGGAGGGAGCAGAGCAAATCTCTTTGCTGAGTCTCTTTGGGTCCACTCAGCCTTTCACCCACTTCACTCACTGCTTCCCTGAGGCCACCCTGGTCCTGGCTCCTGTCTCCTCTGCCTGGACTTTGCAGTAGCTCCTCACTGGGTGTCCCTCACCCAGCCAGAGGGTCCATTAGAATCTGGGTCTGATCCCACCCCCTCCCTTGTCTCACATAGAATAAGGGCTGAAGTCCTTTCAATACCTGGCGGGACCTCCTTCCACTTCCCATCTGTCTACTCTGAGCTCAGGCTACACAAGCCACCTCAGCCCCACTACAGCTCCTGCCCCAGAGTACCTGCTCCCACTGTTCCCCCGCTGAACACACCTGGCCCTGGTGTGCACCTGCCTCCCTTCATTCCAGGCACTTCTTTGTTCCCAGTCTGAGTTCCCCCCAACACTTATCCCATCTGAGTTAAATTAACTATTCACTGGGTGGTTCATCGTCTGTCTCACCTCAGCGGGAATATCAATTTAATAAAAACAGATTTTCTTTTCTTTTCTTACTTTCTTTTTCTTTCTTTTTTTAAAATTCAAAACCACAATCAGAATAAACTTTCTTTTTTTTTCTTAGACGGAGTCTCACTTTGTCACCCAGGGGCTGGAGTGCAGTGGTGCGATCTCTGCTCATTGCAACCTCTGCCTCCTGGGTTCAAGCAATTCTGCCTCAGCCTCTCGAGTAGCTGGGAGGACAGGCACCATGCCCAGCTAACTTTTGTATTTTTAGTAGAGGCAGGGTTTTGCTATGTTGGTCAGACTAGTCTTGAACTCCTGGCCTCAAGCGATCTGCCCACATCAACCTCCCAAAGTGCTGGGATTACAGGCATAAGCCATCGCACCCAGCCTCTTTTTATTTTTTTGAGATGGAGTCTTGCTCTATCGCCCAGGCTGGAATGCAGTGGCATGATTCCGGCTCACTGCAACCTCCGTTTCCCAGGTTCAAGCGATTCTCCCACCTCAGCCTTCTGAGTAGCTAGGACTACAGGTACCCGCTGATGTGCTCAGCTAATTTTTGTATTTTTAGTAGAGATGGGGTTTTGCCATGTTGGCCAGGCTGGTCTCGAACTCTTGACCTCGAGTGATCCGCCCAACTCAGCCTTCCAAAGTGCTGGGATTACAAGCTTGAGCCACTGTGCCCGGCCTCAGAGACAGAGATTTCAGGATTCCAGTTTGGTCATTGCTACGTCCCGAACAGGGTCTGGAATATTGGAGGTGTTGAGTGTTTGCTGAATGAATGAGCACATAAATTCCCATGGAAGAGAGCTCTCCTCTGGGTGTGGGTAGGGTCTCGGCCTTTGGATGCAGGGGCTGAGCCTTCTTTGACCCAGGGAGACCAGGTGATGGTGTCATTGCCCTCCCCTCACACCCAGGGCCATTGCTGACTCAGCTGCCCTCAGGCTTGGCCCTGAAGGTCCCTGAAGGGCGCAGCAGTAGCCTGAGCTGCTAACAGCAGCTTCTGAGGAGCCCTGACCTGTCATCTTTGCACCCCTGGGCCTGGGAAAACCCAGCGGGTACTACATACTTTCCCTCAGCATACTGCCTGAGCACTCTCATGTGCTGGGCACGAAACCCCCAGAGAAGACTGCCTCAGCCTCTGGCCTCCTGGCACTTGCTGCCAGGTAGGAAGGGTGGGCCTGCATTGAACAGGAATCCATAGGGCTGGGTGACAGTGAGTATGGGGGGGAGAAGCTCCTTCAGCAGGCAGGGGCCACCTGCAGTGTGAGCAGGAGCTGTCCAGGTGAGAAGCTGGACCCAGCTACCCCATCCTGCACTCTAGTCCCGACTCTGCTGCACACCTACTATTGACCCTGGGCAAATCACAACCTCTGAGCCTCACCTTCCAGAGCTGTGAAATGGGAAGGAACCTCCCTGTGGAGCTATGGTGGAGGGTGTGTGGGAGGGCACCTGTGCCAGTGGCTGGTAGCCCCTTCTTCCCTTCCAGCCTCCTGGGATCAAAAATTCTGGGCAGGGATTTCCTAATCTGTGGAGCTGGAATGGTAGGCAGGAGGGTCTGCAGGCCCTCTCAGGTTCTCAGCAGAATCAAAAGGGGCCCCACGGCAGCTCGGGGAGTGGCACAGGAGAGGTGCCCTCAGTCCCAATACAAGGAGTCACCAGGGCCACCTGTTACAGATGTGGATGTGCCCTCACCAGGCAAGGACACAGCAGCTTCTGGCACCCCAACCCATGGTGTGTGGGTGGAGGGGCTGTGTGGCTGTGAGTATTCATGCCTACCTTCTTCTGGAGCCACAGGGCTGTGTCCACAACACTCAGGACACTCAGGAGGCCGGTGAAGCCAAAGAGCAGGAGCTTCTAAGGGCTCCACAGGGGCTCTCAGTACCCTGTGTCTAGGAAGAAGAGCAGGGGAGCAGAGGGGTCAGTGACCCAGGAGAAAGCGGGGCACACCCACCTGATGTTCTCCCTCACCCAGGACCTGTTTTCAATACTCCCCTGCTGACACACTCCACACCCCACTAGGGTCCCCGGGAACCGGGCCTCAGGCCTTCATTGTCCCCCTGGGTCCTTTTCTTTTCTTTTCTGTTTTCTCTCTCCCTCCCTCCCTCCCTCTCTCTCTCTCTCTCTGTCTTTCTGCCTTTCTTTTTTTTTTTTTTTTTTGAGATGGAGTTTCACTCTTGTTGCCCAGGCTAGAAGCAGGATCTCAGTGTCTCCCGGGTTAAAGTGATTCTCCTGCCTCAGCCTCCTGAGTAGCTGGGATTACAGGCATGTGCCACCACACTGGGCTTATTTTTGTATTTTTAGTAGAGGTGGGGTTTCTCCATGTTAGTCAGGCTGGTCTCAAACTCCCAACCTCAGATGATCCAACCGCCTCGTCCTCCCAGAGTGCTGGGATTACAGGTGTGAGTCACTGAGCCCGGCCTCCCCTTGGTCCTTTTTATGTTCACTGCCTTGATTCTCTGTAAGGACAGGGACCGCCTCATTTGCTCCCCCAGTGCCCCAGTGCCCTAGCTCCCCTGAGGGCTGCCTGCAGGGCTCTGAGCCCATTGTCTCCCTTCTTGGGGTCTCTTCTTTTCCCTGTGTGAGGTGGTGATAATAGGGGTGAATGTGGCTAGGGCTGAAGGAGGTGGGTTTATAATGGGACTGACAGTGGAGGGGCCCTGCACCTGGGCTAGGTGAGGCCCAGCCCTCCCTCTGTGTCATCCTACTGTTGTTCCTCCTGCTGTCATCCATTCCTCCTTCCCCTTTACCCCATCCATTCATCCATCTGGCTGGCAAAAACACACAGGGTGTGAACCAGGTGCCAGGCACATGGTGATTTCCCCAGCAGTGCCTATAGTCAGCCACCAGCCCGTATGGGCACCATCTCCCTCATCCTCATCCAAGTCCTTGGAAGGCAGAGGATTGCCATGAAGACCAGGCCCAAGCTCACATCAGGCAGCGGGACAGGGGTGCAAACCCAGGCCTATGGGATTTGGAAGCCCCCAGCTCCTTCCAGGGGATCGCAGAGGTAGGTCAGAGAATCAGGGCTTCAGTCAGGGGCTCCCTCATAACTTTTGGGGTCATCACTCCTTTGAGAATGTGATGATAACTAGCTGGTTGTGGTGACTCAACACCTGTAATCCCAGCACTTTGGGAGGCTGAGGCAGGAGAAATGCTTGACCCTGGAGGTGGAGGTTGCAGTGAGCAGAGATCGTGACACTGCACTCCGCCTCGGTGACACAGTGAGACTCCATCTCAGAAAAAAAAAAAAAAGATGGCCAGGCGTGGTGGCTCATGCCTGTAATCCCAGCACTTTGGGAAGCTGAGGTGGGTGGATCACAAGGTCAAGAGATCGAGACCATCCTGCAACATAATGAAACCCCGTCTCTACTAAAAATACAAAAAATTAGCCGGGCGTGGTGGTGTGTGCCTGTTGTCCCAGCTACTTGGGAGGCTGAGGCAGGAGAGTTGCTTGAAACTGGAAAACGGAGGTTGCAGTGAACCGGGATAGCACCACTGCACTCCAGCCTAGTGATAGAGTGAGACTCTGTCTCAAAAAAATAAATAAAAAAAAATATCTTACCTTGGATTCAGAAAAAATAAATAAATACATAAATAAATAAGAGAACGTGATGAAAACTAAAACCCTGTACCTCTAAAGGTATATTATACATGAGCCAAGTGCTCACATACACGAGGCTCCCACAAGAACATACATGCAGTTCTATAGAAGTCCACCAAGCCATGATGCCTGTGCACGCTGAGACCAAGGGCCCGAGTGAGCTCTCTCAGGTCACCTTCCAGAGGCATCTAGGGGCCGATCTGCAAGCCAGGCCTTCCCTTTCCATATGCAGGTGGGGCCCTGGCACAGCTGCAGGCCAGGGCTCCCTGAAAAGGCTGGGTCCTGCTTTGCCAACATTGGCAGAGAAGGCAAATCATTCTCTATTTCCTTTTTTTTTTTTTTTTTTAAGATGGGGTTTCACCATAATGGCCAGGCTGGTCTTGAACTCCTGACCTCAGGTGATCCACCCACCTAGGCCTCCCAAAATGCTAGGATTACAGGCTTGAGCCACCGCCTTTTTTTTTTTTTTTTTTTTTTGAGATGTAGTTTCGATCTTGTTGCCCAGGCTAGAGTGCAATGGCATGATCTCAGCTCATGGCAACCTCTGCCTCCCAGTTCAAGCAATTCTCCTGCCTCAGCCTTGCATGCACCACCATGCTGGCTAATTTTTTTGTATTTTTAGCAGAGACGAGGTTTCTCCATGTTGGTCAGGCTGGACTTGAACTCCCGACCTCAGGTGATCCTCCCTCCTCGGCCTCCCAAAGTGCTGGGACTACAGATGTGAGCCACCGTGCCCGGCTTTCCTTCCTTTTTTTTTTTTTGAGACAGAGTTTTGCTCTTGTTGTCCAGGCTGGAGTGCAATGGTACGATCTAGGCTCACTGCAACTTCCAAATCCTGGGTTCAATGGATTCTCGTGGCTTAGCCTTCCAAGTAGCTGGGACTATAGGCACCCACCACCATGCCCAGCTCATTTTTGTATTTTTAGTAGAGAAGGGTTTCACCATACTGTCCAGGCTGGTCTCAAACTCCTGACCTCAGGTGATCTACCGCCTTGGCCTCCCAAAGTGCTGCGATTACAGGCGTGAGTCACTACACTTGGCCCCATTCTCTATTTCTGGTCTGGAGTCCCAAACTGCTGGTTGAAAGAAATCTCTGGGTCTTTTGCCCCTGGAAGAGCCACAGAGAAAGCCTCACCTCTGACCAGGATGAAGGTGCCACTGCCTGTTGCCACAGGGTGTGGCCTGTTGACAGAGCAGTAGTAGGTGCCAGTCGCTGATGTGTCCAACGGCACAAGGGTGACCAGGCAGTTTAGGGCATAGGTCTGGTTCTCTATGCCCAGTCCAGGGTGGCAGTTGGTTGGCTTCTCAGGGCTCCTTCGCCCATGGAGGTCTTCATGAAAGTAGCTGACTGTGAAAGCCTTAAATTGGGGGGTGTACGGGTAGCTGATCCTGCAGCTGAAGGAGACAGCTGAGTTAGCCAGGGAGGCCACGATGGGCAGGCTGCTGTGGGTCACTGACTGTGAAAGCCTTGAATTGGGGGGTGTACGGGTAGCTGATCCTGCAGCTGAAGGAGACAGGTGAGTTGGCCAGGGAGGCCATGATGGGCAGGCTGCTGTGGGTCACTGACTGTCCTCCTGGAGAAAGGGAGAGAGGGACAGGTCACTTGAGGCTGCCTCAGTCCCACCCACTTGCAGGTTAAAACAAGGCTTGTGGCCAGGCATGGTGGCTCATGCCTGTAATCCCAGCACTTCGGGAGGCTGAGACAGGCAAATTACCTGAGGTCAGGAGTTTGAGACCAGCCTGGCCAACATGATGAAAGGAGAATCACTGGAACCTGGGATGCGGAGGTTGCAGTGAGCTGAGATCATGGCACTTCACTCCAGCCTAGGTGACAAGATCGAGCTCCATCTCAAAAAAAAAATAAACAAAAAACAAAAGACAAGTCTCATGCCTTCTGTGCCCCTACCTCTGCAGCTGCAGCTTCTGCCTCTCCTGCACTTGCTGTGTGTCGGACTTGTGCCAGGCACATTACACACACCGCTCTGCCTCTCCTAATATATCCGTAGGCAAAACGAGAGCCCCTGTTTTGCAAAGGGAAAGAGTCTGAGGGTCAGGGAGCTGAAGCACCTAGCTCCTGATCCCCTCAGCAGGTAGAGAGCAGAGCTACAATGCCATTCAGGCCTGGGAGACACCAGAGCCTGCTCTCCTAACCCCTCTCCTTCCTGAAGTCCAAGAGGCCACGTAAAATAAATGCCCAGGCCTGAGAAGAGTGAAAGCTGGTGACGGATGGGAAATAACAAAGGAAGCAAGAAAATGAAAGGAAGCAAGAGTTTTGTCTGCTGCACAGGTGGTAGAAGACAAAACTCTCCTGGACTTGGAAAGGATGTGTCAGGCTTTTGGGTTTTGTTTTTTTTTTTTTTTTAGATGGAGTTTCGCTCTCGTTGCCCTGGTTGGAGTGCAGTGGCACAATCTCGGCTCACCTGGCCTCACTGCAACCTCCCCTCCCAAGTAGCTGGGATTACAAACATGCACCATCACACACAGCTAATTCTGCATTTTTAGTAGGGATGGAGTTTCTCCACGTTGGTCAGGCTGGTCTGAAACTCCCGACCTCAGGTGATCCACCTGCCTCAGCCGTGCTGCGATTACAGACATGAGCCACCGCGCCCAGTTAGGTTTTTATGTAGTATAACAGGCAACATCCTGAGAGTGGTTTTTCCAACACCGAAGAGGTGCTCCACGTGGGGCCATTTCGGCTGTGATCATGATGTCAACGGACCGTGACAAGGCCAGTTTTGCAGGAGGCACCCCTCCCCCCCAATCATCAGAGGCACTTCAGAAAACAGTTTGAAAATTCGCAAAGCAGCAGCCCTCCCTGGGGGGCCTCTAACCCCTGCTGCAGGCCTCTGAGATGCTGTTTGGATCCTGGGCTGGGGCGGCAGCCACCCCCTGCCCCAGACTTCAGCCGCTCAGACCCCTCAGCTTCAGCGCTCCCAGGCGCTCCAGGCCCCGCCTTCTCTAGCAGCTGAGCAGCAGACAGTTTTAAACTGAGGTCAGCAGCCAGCAGCCAGCAGCCAAGAACATGCAGGCCGCCTTGTTACTTGGGCGTAGATAGTGTGTTAGCCGCAAGATTTATTTTGTTGGGGAAAATGAGGTGCAGGTGCTGCCTGTGGTGTGGGGCTGGAGTGAGGCCAGACTGACTTCCCAGGTCTCTTCAGTTCAGCTCTGAGCCAGAGCTCTGGGAAAAGGGTCCCAAAAGGGAGGCCAGCCTTCTGGAAGATGCGGGACAGACAGACACATAGTCGGCCCTGCGCTTCAGTTAATTCCTCAAAACTTTGGCCACGCTGATATTTTGAGCTTCTTATTGAGCCCCTAAAGAGACATCCCCAGGCTGGGCAGAGTGTTTCATGCCTGTAATCCTAGCACTTTGGGAGGCACAGGTGGGCTGATCACCTGAGGTCAAGAGTTCAAGACCAGCCTGGCAAAACATGGCGAAACTCCATCTCTACTAAAAACACAAAAATTAGCCAGGCATTGTGGTGGGAGCCTGTAATTCCAGCTACTTGGGAGGCTGGGGCAGGAGAATGTTTGAACCTGGGAGGCGCAGGTTGCAGTAGATTGTGCCATTGCACTCCAGCCTGGGCGACAAGAGCAAGGCCCCATCTCAAAAAAAAAATTTTGTATGAGACAAGAGGGGTGGGGTGAACAAATGACATTGTCACCGACCCCACCCTACAGCTCCACACAACACTCACAGGCCACTTCCCCCTCTGTGCCCCTACCCCATGTCCCCCTCAACCTGTGACCTCCATTTCCTCACCGGGGCCTCCTTCTCCTCCTCACAGTGTAGCTAAGAAGCCACTCCAGGGGGAGGACAGATACACAGTCAGCACCATGAAACCTTCCTGTTTCTCCTGGGCAGGAAGACTTCAGACCAATTGACTTTAAAAATTCTCTCTGTCCAAAGTATCCTTCTAGAAAATAATGAACTCTGCTATCGCAATTATGCCGATATTTATAATTCCAGGGAAATCTATAAAAACGGATGGCCATCGTTCTGTCTTCTTTTGGGATTTGTTATTTTAAGGTCAGAGTGTCAGGATCATGAAAACGCAGCTCTGGCTCAGGTCTGCCACAGCGAGGAGAGGTTTTGAAGCAAGAACCTCAGACCTCTGATGAAACTGCTGTCTCTAAAAAGTGAAGAGAGGAAGCAGTCTCTGAGCAGCTCCATCAGTAACAACAGCCGGTCTGGAGACATCAGGCCAAAACCCAGGGAGAGGAGAGGAAGCCTGCAGGTGCCGCCAAGGCCTGCCAGGTTCTGGACTTTGGATGTAGCTCACCGCCTCCCCTGCCTTCCTTTTACTGGGCGTCAGTACCCCTGAGCTGGACCCCTGCAACTGCCCAGCTCCCAGCCCATCTCCTGGCCCTGTGCCTCCCAGAGGCCCCTTCAGCAGTGCAGGCCATAGAAGTCCAGGCCCTAGCTGGCTGCCTACTAGAGGCACTTCCCCATGACAGCTCAGTGCTGAAGATAGGTTTCATGGCCATTTCCAAGTCCACAAATGCTTTTCAGCTGTCATTTGTTTGCAGCACTTCCGTGGGGGTCCTATGAACGTGCCCCACGGGACTCAAGGCCAACTCTACAAGCACCCGGAGCCCAGGGCCAGCCTCCCATGTGCCTGACATGACAGGTCTTTTCTGCCTCCACCAGCTTGATCAGTGGGGACGGACAAGGAGGGAGTCTGGGCGGGAAAAAGAAGAGGGACCTCGCCCCTCCCCCTCACACAGGACCCGGGTGACATGGAGAACCACTTCAGCATCAGAGTTTGAAGTTTCATCTGTTACACAGGGTTAGAGATGTGAAGAACTGGGACTCATGTGTGACTTTTGTTGACCTTTGGACTTTGACTTGGAGGAACTAGGTTTTGCCGGGAGAAATTCTCCAACAACAAGGCATCTAGAGGGCCCAGGACCTGCTCCTGCTGCTTTTCTGGTCATTCTCCAGGTCCCAGGGACCTGGGGCAGGTGGAGCTGGGACTGGCCCTTGGGCACAGGGAGGAAGTGTCTCAAGGAGCCCTAGGTGTTTTCTGTGCAACCTTTTAGAGAACTTAGGAGGATTCTCCATTTGCCTGCCTGTTGGAGAGAGGGGCCTGGAAGTGGCTGCAAGGAGCTCCCCTGGGGCTTGGGGAGGGCAGAGTTGGGGCACAGGGTGAGGAGGGGCGGGTGAAGACATGAACTCCCCGGCCTGCCCTGCCAGGAGGGAAGGCTGCAGGGGCAGGGAGAGTTTGGCTCTTGGGGAGTTTTCTGGATAGGAGCCTCTTGAGCCTGGTGAATGTGGATGGGATGGTGCAGGGAGAGGGGAGAGGGCACCCGGGTGAGGACCATGGGGGAGGAGGGGTGGAACAGGAGGGCAGCAGGGCCACCAGAGGCAGGGTTGCCGCAGGTATCTGGGAGGGCCCCGCCCCAGGGCTTGGCTATTTGTTCTGAGCCTTCAGGTCCTCCCCTGTGCCTCCCCACCCCCACACAGCTGCAAGCACAGACATCTGATCTGGGCAGCACCGTGCATCCCTGCTCAGTCTTACTGCTATACCAGAGTGTGTTTTGGGCAGTACACTTTTCCCATCCCTCACTTCCCTGCAGCTCCAGGGAAGTTTCTCCCACACTGTGAGGAAGGCTTGGGCCTGGCTGGAAACAGGGGCGATGGGCACAGGTGTCTGGGGAAAGCCCAGGTTCTGGAGGCAACAGGCCTGGATTCAGCACCTGGCTCTGCCACTTGAAGGCTGTGCAACCTTCGGCAGGCAGCTTAACTTCTCTGACCTCAGCATCTCCCCACAACACAGGGAGAGCAACAATGCCAACCTTCAGGGACTGTGGCAGGATTCACTGGACCTGGAACCCAGCTGCTTGCCAAGAGCCAGGCTGCCTTTCTCCAGGGTATGAGAATGAGGCAGGGAGTCCTCCTTGAGGATTTTCAAAGGCAAATGCCAGCTGGGTGTGGTGGCTCAAGCCTGTAACCTCAGCACTGTGGGCAGATCACCTGAGGTCAGGAGTTCAAGACCAGCATTCCATCTCTACTAAAAATACAAAAATTAGCCGGGTGTAGTGGCACACTCCTATAGTCTCAGATACTTGGGAAGATGAGGCAGGAGAATAGCTTGAACCCAGGAGGCAGAGGTTGCAGTGAGCCGAGATTGAGCCACTGTACTCCAGCCTGGGAAACAAGAGCTATCTCTGTTTCAAAAAAAAAAAAAAAGAGGCAAATTTGGGGGTTTGGGAAAGCCCTGGTTAAATGACACGCCCTTGGCACAGGGGACACAGGCCCTGATGGTCCAGGTGCAGCAGGACCCCCAGGGGCCTGTCCCCGACCCAGGCTGGGGCACCATCCCCATCCCGTGTGCTGGCCTGGCCCAGCTGAAGTCCCTTCTGTGGTGTGGTATTTGAGGGCTCTGGACATGAACAGCCCTCTGTCCACAGCTTCCAGCTCCTCTTCTCCCACCCTTGTTGGGAAAGACTTTGCCAACCGCCTGAGTCCTTCCTTTTCCAGTTCTTCTTATGAGGCTGCTTGAACTTGGGGGTTGAGATCTGGGTGGAGTTACTACCCTCCCACCCCTGGCACAGGGACCCCATGCTGAGTGAGTCCCTGGTGGGAAGTGCCCCCACGTGTTTGTGTGCCCACCTGGAAGCTTTCCTGTGGCTCACTGATGTTCAGGATCAGACCTGCCCACTGCCAGCCAGTACATGTCCCCCACCCCTCCACCTCAACAGCTCCCATCCAGCCCCCTCTCCTGCCCAACCGGGGCTGCCTCTGTGGCTCTGAGCCCCTAGCGATCCACAAACTCATCCTGCTCCTGCCCTTCCTAAACTGGCAGAAGCTCTCTGCTGGAGAAGACCCAGGAGTCTGAAATCAATGTACAGGGTCAAGACAAGCAATTAAAAAAAAACAGAACACGAAGCGTAGTAAGGACACTGTTTGCGACCTTCTGGTTTCAGTTATATTCATACAATTGGGTTCAGACGGGGTCACACTAAAACATTGCTAAACAAATGGAAAGTCCCTGGCCTGGAGGATCCAGTTCCTGCCTCACAGGCCCTGCACAGCCCTGCTCTCTGGCCCTCACTCGCCTGCTCCCATGTAGAGGTTGAGCTGCCATGATCTGGCGCAGTCGCCTGTGCCATCCCAGCTGCGGGGATGTCTTACCCACTCCTTACTCTCCTGGGCTTTGGGGGTGGGGCCCTGTCTGTCTCCAGGACTTCCTCATTTCCTTCCTGAGTCACTCCTGGGTGTCTGGCTTCCTGCACAGCACAGCCTCTCAGGCATTGCTGTTATGCCATGTGATCAGAAGAGCCAATGTCCCCTGGGAATGGTGTCGCCTTTTGCAGATGACAAAACTGAGTCTCAGAGGAGGGAAGATGTTTGCCCAAACAGTGGTGGTAGAGATAAGATTTTCAGCTGGGTCGCTTTGAGTCTGTAACCTCTCTCTCTCTCTCTTTCGAGATGGAGTTACACTCTTCTTGGCCAGGCTAGAGTACATGGTCTAGGCTCCCCACAACCTCCGCCTCCCGGGTTCAAGCGATTCTGTTGCCTCAGCCTCCTGAGTAGATGGGATTACAGGCATGGACCACCATACCCAGCTAATTTTGTATTTGTGGTATAGATGGGGTTTCTCCATGTTGGTCAGGATGGTCTTGAACTCCCGACCTCAGGTGCTCTGCCAACCTCAGCCTCCCAAAGTGCTGGGATTACAGGCATGAGTCACTGCGCCTGCCACCCCACTGTTAACCATCATATTATACTATACTAAACTATACTATACAACAATTTTAAAACCTCAGACTGGGTGTGTGGTCACACCTGGAATCTCAGCAATTTGGAAGGCTAAGGTGGGAGAATCTCTTGAGCCCAGGGCTTTAAGACCAGCCTAGGCAATATAGCGACACCCCATCTCTACTCAATAAGTAAATAAATTAGCCAGGTGTGATGGCATGCCTGCAGTCCTAGCTACTCAAGGATCACTTGAGCCTGGGAGGCTGCATTGAGCTATGATCATGCCACTGCACTCCAGCCTGGGTGACAGAGAGAAACCCTGTCTCAAAAAACAAACAGGCCGGGTGCAGTGGCTTACGCCTGTAATCCCAGCACTTTGGGAGGCTGAGGTGTGTGGGTCACCAGAGGCCAGAAATTTGAGACCATCCTGGCCAACATGGTGAAACTCTGTCAGTACTAAAAATACAAAAATTAGCTGGGCATGGTGGGGGGCACCTTTAATCCCAGGTACTCAGGAGAATCACTTGAACCCGGAAGGCAGAGGTTGCAGTGAGCCGAGATCACATCACTGTACTCCAGCCTGGGTAAAAGAGTGAACCTCCATCTCAAACAGACCCCTCAAAGCAAGCAAGAGAAAAAATTCTAAAAGGAAAGAAATATACTTTTTTTTTTTTTTTTAGAGAGACAGGTTTTACCATATTGGCCAGGATAGGCTTGTCTCAAACTCCCGACCTTGTGATCCACCCACTTCGGCCGAAGTGCTGGAATTATAGGCTTGAGCCCATGCCCTGCCTGGAAAGAAATAAACTTTCTTAAAGGGAGTCAGAAGTTCAGAGGCTGTTTCCTTAAGTTTGGGTCATGTAATAGGTAGACAGAGCCAGCAACATGCATCGGCCTGGGGACAATGCTAGTCGGAAATGGCCCTAAGCACTGGGAAACTGTTACCTCAGCTCCAGCAGAGCCTGCGGCTCCCCAAACAGAAGTGACCCCACAAGCCCTCTACAGACTGGTCCTGTGACAGGGTGAGGTGGCTCATGCCTCTTTCTAATCCCAGCACTTTGGGAGGCTGAGGCAGGTGGATCACCTGAGGTCAGGAGTTGCAGACAGCCTGGCTAACATGGTGAATCCCAGCTCTACTAAAAATACAAAAATTAACCAGGTGTGTAGAAACATGCCTGTAATCCCAGGTATTCGGGAAGCTGAGGCAGGAGAATTGCCTGAACCCTGAAGGCAGAGGTTGCTGTGAGCCACTGCACTGCAGCCTGGGCAACAAAAGTGAAACTCCGTCTCAAAAAAAAAAAAAAGATAAAAGAAAATGCTTCCATGGCTTCCTCTCACCCCCAGAATCTGCCACCCACCATCCCCCTGGTCCCTCCCACCCTGCTCCAGCTGCCGAGGCTCCTCTCATCACAAGCCATGGGCCAGGGCTTCGGTCCTGGCTCCCCCTGCATGGAACTCAATCCCCATGTGGCATCGTGAGCATTGTCAGCCAAGGG